GGGTCCACCACAGAAGTCATGCGCGCCCCAACATGGTGTTTGTAAACTCGTGCAGGCGTCCAAAGAGTTGGAATCACACAAAAGCACCAGCAAGGCGTTGGTGGGGCTGACCGAGTCTATAAGTGTCTGACTTGAGGCTGTTGTTGTTTGTCGTGGTTGCCGATGTCGAAGATGGTGAGCGGGTGGTGGTGCAGTTCGGGTTGAGAACAAAGAAACGAAACGGAAGAGGTGCAGAAAAGGCGTTTTTGTTTACGCAAATTCCTGCTGTCGCTGGGGCAACGCTGCGAAGTGTCAGCAGGTAAAACGCAAAGCCGAGGTGCCAAGTCTGTAAATTCACACCGGATATGGTTTAGCTCAACGGCTTGCATAGGCCCTGGAACTTGCTTCTCCCGGCTTGGCGTGTAACCAAGGGTTTTGCCTCTTATCACGCAACGGTTGTCTCGTCTGGAATCTGGGCGTTGTCCCCTCTGTCCTCTTTCCTCCCGCCTTATTACAACCTCAACCGACCTCAAACCTCTTCTCCCCAACCCTCAAGAACTATCACCAATAGTAAAATCAATCCACAGTCCATGGCGTCCGGCTCTTTCTAAAGCTCCGGCTTAGAGGCCGTTGTAATCCCCAGCAAAAACACGCCAACCTCACCGATCCACTTCAACTAACAATTACCAACCCCCTCCCTATCTCCCCCCGCTAAGTTACACGGATACTTCTGCCCTCGTCATCACCCTTCCGGGCCAACAGAATGCCGGCGAACAAGGTATCACGGACTGCCCAGAACTACAAACAATCCAACCCAAACGGTACTGGCAAGGACCCCGATCAAAATGGTGGACCTAAACTTCCCCCTACTACTCCAGGGAAGAAACCCAAACGTGGTTCCATAAGTGCTCCTAAACAATCTGCGATGACGCCCGTGCCTCCTTCCTTGGACTATATCAAAGTTCAAGAAGATGAGATTGAGGTATTGAAGTCCATATTTATGGACGATTATGAAACGGTTGAAACCTCAAGGGCTTGGAATGTGAGCAATATACTTATCTGTGTTCTTTTAGCTTTGAGTCCCCAAGGTGGTGGCTTTTCGAATTCATATATAATTTCTAATGGATATACCTCTTTTGCGTAGAAATCAAATCTAGCCTTCAAAATACGTCTCAAAGCTCCCTCGGATGAGGAAATATCTTGTGTCCTCCATGTGACTTTTACAGCTACTTATCCTAAAACTGGTGAGAAACTCGCGATTAGTCGTCATCGTCGATACCCTACTTACCTGTATTGATTTTAGCCCCTGAGCTACGTCTTATACCATCCTCTGCCATCCAGCCAATTCATATGGAAAGGCTACAATCCCTGCTTTCGCAATCTCTACGGAAGAACTTGGGACAGGAAATGATTTTTGATATCACCACTGCGATACAGGACGCTCTAGAAGATATCGTTCAATCAAATCTAGTCGATCAGGGTAAACCCAGTCTTGATGAGGAGCGAGCACTGAAGGCAATGGAAGCTCAACTTCTTGCTGAACGGGAATCAGAGGAAGCTCGCAAACGTGAAGAGAGAATGGAGATGGAAGCCCAACGGAAGCTGCGGGAGGAGATAGATGAAGAAATTCGCAGACAAAAGGCGAATGCCAAACAGTCTCACGAGAAACGAAGGGCCCCATCAATAGACTACGACGAAGTAGTAGCCGATGATTGCATTTTGTTTGATCGGGTCATTAGTATCAAGCGTGGATACAATGCTGCCCCTATTCTGTTTCGCAAGGTCTCAGGAATGGTTAAGATTGCCACTGGTCCTCTCATGTCTGTGTATACTGTTCACCCCGTCCTTGCCCCCAGCCAAGAGAATGGCCTCCCGCTGGTGCTTAAACAGGCGGATGTCCCTGATTTCTTGAATGCGAAGGGTATGGATGGGAAAAAGAAAGTACAAAATCTGGAGTTGGAACTGGACGAGATGAGGGGACTGAGGCATAATAACGTTGTAGAAATTTACGGCAGCAAGGTTTTCCGCATCGACACTTTGTCAAATGGTGGCTATGAGAATTCATCTGGCTCTACAGGGGGTTGGCGAATATCTATACTTATGGAATACTCTAATAAGGGAAGCCTGCACGATTTGCTGGAAACCGTGGGCCAACTTAGTGTCGATATTGTTAGAGCATGGACTATCTCTTTGATAGAGGGCTTGGATTACATCCACCGAATGGGAACGGTTCATGGAGGGATCCGCGCCCAGAACATTCTTTTATTCCGCGACAGCTCGGGTGACTCAACCATCCCCAAACTCACGGACATAGGCTACACGCTAGCGTTACGGGAGATCATAGGCAACGAGCATGGGCATCCTGAAACCTCGACGGCTGCATCAGCAAAACCCGTTTCTTGGCTCCCTCCAGAAAACGCGAACCAGGTAAAAGCCAAACAAAGCAATCGCAAGACAGACATCTGGAATCTGGGTATTATGATTCTCCAAATGTTATTTGGGCTCAAGGTTGTGGATAAATATTCTTCTCCGTTCGATCTTATCCATAATATGGACCTTTCGGATTCCTTAAAAGATTTTCTAGAGAGGATATTCAAGTCGGATCCGAAGAAGAGACCTACCACCTTTGATTTGCTTCCTTCTGAATTTCTGAGAAGCAGTGATCCTATTCTCGTTCCCGATACTCCATCTCCTGAGCTCTCGAAGACGGACTGGCCCGTGTCAAATACAGGAAGCTCCAATCGTCCTCGTCGAGACTCCACTACTATAGGGAATACTAGTAGATATGCTAATGATTTCACAGAACTTGGGCGATTGGGTAAAGGAGGGTTTGGCGAGGTGGTTAAAGCCAGAAACAAGCTCGACGGCAATACCTATGCTATCAAGAAAATCACAAAAATTGGCCGCTCCAAGCTGAACAACATCCTGCATGAGGTTATGCTGCTGAGCAGGTTGAATCATAAGTATGTGATCAGATACTTTACCGCATGGCTAGAAGAGGAAGACCCCAATTTACAGGCACTTTCTGAATCATCCGACGGTGAGGATGATTATGATGACGATGAAGACAGTGATGATAGTGGGCCTGCTGTGTTCTCTGGAAGCTCTATTGGGGCGGAGGATGAGGATGAAGGGAGTGATCGTAGTGGAAGTGGCGATGGCATTGAGTTCACGAACGGAACTGGTGGTTTGGATTTCATAAGTGGGGGTGGATATTCAGATGTCAGCTTTGAAGATGACAGTGATGAGCCAGACGAATCGGAGGACGAGGAAGCAAATGAAGAGGGAAAAGAGGAAGATGTCCTCAAAGCTATGAGAAACCGCGATGGAAAGGGCCGGGCACCCATTGTTAGAAGGAAATCTAGTAGCGGGAAAAGCTCCAGGTCTACCTTATACATACAAATGTCGCTCGCCGATCAACTGGTAATTTTTATCCCTTACATCCTCTTTGCCAATTGTGCCTGCTGACGTTGCAAGACCATAAGAGATAAAGTCCTTAGCGGCTTGCATGCCGATGAGGCCTGGAGATTACTTCGGCAGGTTCTCGAGGGATTGGCACACATCCATGGACTTGGGATTATCCATCGTGATCTCAAACCCGAGAATATATTTATCGATTTAAATGGGAATCCGCAGATAGGAGATTTCGGGTTGGCTACCAGTGGACAGGTGTCAAACAAGGCCAACCAAGCTGAATCAGATGATATAGATCTAACCACCAATGTTGGAACCATTCTCTACGTAGCTCCGGAATTAAGGACCACCAAGGGCCATGGAAAATACGATGGAAGGGCAGACGTAAGTTTTCCGTATCTAGCTTTGATTTGATATATTTTATTTGTCTGACGAGATGAGTTAGATGTACTCTCTTGGGATCATATTCTTCGAGATGTGCTACATTCCTCTTGTCACGGTTATGGAACGTGGGAAAGTCATTGGAAAGCTCAGAGAAAAGGAGGTCAACTTCCCGTCTGATTTTGCAACAGACAAGAATGCAGTCCAAGTCTCTATCATCAAATCGCTACTCAGCCATGATCCGGCTGAGCGGCCATCGAGCATGGATCTGCTAAACTCTGGGAAATTACCACTCAAGGTCGAAGATGAAACTATGCGTCAAGCGTTACGAAGTATCTCGAATCCCGGGACTCCTCATCATCAGCAGGTTATGTCTGCGCTTTTCTCTCAGAGTACCAAGGAGTACAAAGACCACACCTACGATCCTGGGAAAAGCATCCTCTCGCGCCACGATATTATCCTCCAGGGAACGGTCAGAGAGCGTCTCATCGAGATATTTAGGCACCATGGAGCTGTAGAAACCACCAGGCCACTCCTACTCCCCCGAAGCAAGCTTTACAACCGGGATGTTGCGCAGCTGTTAGACCAGAGCGGAACAGTCGTACAGTTGCCGTATGATTTAACATTACCCCATGCACGATCATTGGCTAGGCAAGAGACTCTTAGTCCAAAAACCTTTACTTTCGGGACAGTATACAGGGACAACCCAGCGGGTGGTCAACCTCGAAGCCATGGAGAAGTTGATTTTGATATTATTAGCTATGACAGCCACGATCTTGCGCTCAAGGAGGCTGAAGTGATAAAGGTTATTGACGAAATCCTAGATGCTTTTCCTAGTTTGCGTAAAGCCCAAATGTGCTTTCACATCAATCATGCAGACCTTTTGGATATAATTATGGAGTTCTGTAGGATCAACCCAGCACATCAACCTGTTGCAAAGGAGACCCTGAGCAAACTCAACACTGGTCAATGGCTTTGGCCCAGGATTAGAGATGAACTGATTATCTCTGGATTAGGAATCTTACCAACTAGTCTTGACGACCTTGCCAAGTTCGATTGGAGGGACGAACAAGAGAAAGCACTTAGCAAGCTAAATCTCCTTCTTCGTGGCTCAAACCTAGCTGATAAGGCAAAAACAGCCTTCGCTCATATACGCGCTGTGATCGGATACCTAAAGCAATTTGGCATCACAAGGGATATATACGTCAGTCCCCTTGGAACCTGGAATGATAAGTTCTATCGTGGAGGTGTTGTTTTCCAATGCGTTGTTGACTCCAGGAAAAGGGATGTCTTTGCCGCAGGCGGTAGGTACGATAGCTTGGTACAGAGCCATAGACCAGCCGTCCGAGGTATTGCAGAGGAAACTCACGCCGTCGGGTTCAACTTAGGCTGGGAGAAGCTCTTCACCTCTGTGGCTCGTTTCCAAAAGAACTATGCCAAACCGCAACACAAGAGAGGCGAAGATGAGAACCTCAGACCATGGGTGACTAGGCGCTACGATGTCCTTGTAGCTAGCTTTTGCAAAACGGCCCTCAGAACTCAGGGAATAGCAATATTGCGGGAATTGTGGGCAAACGGTATCAGTGCAGAGCTGGCAGGTGATGCTTCCAGCCCAGAGCAGCTGATCAATAGTTACAAAGGAGACGGCATATCTTGGATCATCATTATTAAGCAGGGCTTTGGTTCTTCCCTAGACGGAGACCGCTGCTTGAAGGTGAAGAGCTTGCTCAGAAAGGAAGATGTCGAACTCAGAGTCGCAGACATGGTACCGTATCTGAAGAACGAGATTATTGAAAGAGAAAAGAAAGAGAGGTCTTCCACTATTTCGGGAAGCCCGGGGGTGCTGGCGGGGATGAAATCCCTTACCAGACACCCCAGCTCCGGTGGTGAAATACCTGGGCGTCAGGCAGGAGATGACGGTGACGCGGGCGTGAGGATTCTCGCGAGTGATCGAAAAGGCAGGAAAATTAGCAAGGGTAACATTATCAGTGCGGGTAGGTTCATATTTACTCTAACCTTTTCTCTAGTGGTGCTAACTACCTCACAACAGCTCAACGCGCAGCATCTGAACTTCTCACAAATTTCTTCCGCGACGCTCCGATTGCCGCCATCGACGTACGAGATGACATCCTCCACGCGATCAAATATGCAGGCCTTCACGACCAAGAGGCTTGGCGAAAAATCATCCAGGGCTCCCCTGCCGTCGATAGGAAATACATCTCCCAAGTCCAGGATCTACTTGTGGACCTCAAAGAAAACTCCCGGACCAATGGATGCCTCGTATTTAATTACCGTACCGGGGTGATTGTTTTTTACCACTTGAATTGAATCGAGCCCAGCTCAGGTTAGGAGCATGGTGGATGGAGTGCACATGTGTAGGAGGTGATAGCTGGATTTGTGGTATCTTTTTTATGATTTATTTCAAATTCTCTACTCTGCTCAGGTTTTCTTTTTGCCCTTTTTCCATTTCCATCTGGTGTATCGTAACAGTAATGGGGCGATGTGTGGCTCCTTTCTTTTCTCCCCCTTTTGCGTTGTAGCACCGTAGGTGCTTTGAATACCCCTCCATCTGTAATCTGTCGCCTGGAGTTCGATATGTATCATAATTTACCTTTTTCTCTCTGCCATGTTCTAAGGGTTTGGCATAAGTTGAGTTGCAAGGCATCGCGGTTCAGTGTTACTTGTGTGAGCTCAATATTGACGAGTGATATTGTGTGCGTGAAGAGGTGTGGGTTCAGTGCTGTCAAACAATAATATTATAATATTATGGCAAGCTATTTATTACGTGGGCTCATCTATCACCCAAGTGACAGCACAGATGTTTTCTTTTTCCTTTCTCTTTCGCCAGAAGCCATGTTTCATAATGCCGAACCATCGTTCAATACAATTTATCAGTAAAAGGAAAAGAAAAGGCTGCTTGCTATTCCGCATCTGGAGAGTATCCACGAACTAATCCACCTGCAACGCGGTGAACCTCCTTGACCTACCGGAGATGAAGGCCTGCTAAATTGACCAACCCGTGAATCTTTAGACTAATGTATGCATCCAACCATCCACCATCGTATCTACCCCAAGTTCATTTACATCCACACACGCACAAGGAAAGAAGAAAAAGGCCCAAACTCCAATCCACGACAAACACGATGAGAGAAAGTTTTTGATTTTTAAAGAAAGAACATGCCAAGGTAATCTACTTCTTCCCAGCCCTGGGGGTGGGCATAAACCTCGACCGTGCATTCCCAGGTGTGCCCTCATTCGCTCCGAAAATGCCCGAATTGCCACCCCTCCCAGCCTTCAAATTCCCCAGCAGCCTCTGTCCGGCAGGGGTCAATGCCGTACGGGGGGTGCTCTTGAAAGTGGGGATCTCTCGCCCCTTACCGTTCCCACCCAAGGGCGTCATTCTCGGTGTTGTACCAGTGCCGCCTGCGGCCGTAGCGGCCGTAGCAACGGATAACAGAGGGTTGACCGGCGCGCGCTTTCCCTTTGCGACCCGATCCACCATCCGATGGTGCAATAATTCACGTTTCGGCGTCGGTGCGAGTTTAAAAGGTGTGGGTGTCGCCGTTGAGTCTGATATGGAGGCCAGACTTCCCCAGGTTAGAGGCGGGGCACCGAGCTCGCTAGGTGAAGGGCTGGGCGCATCGTCGACGAAGGAATATCCATTGACTCTTGGCGTTTCGATGGCGCCGAAGCGGGACTCCGACGGCAGCGGGCGGGGGTTTCCGGATATTGCGTCGCGGATTACGGAGCGGGTAGGGGAGCTCGGGAGTTTCTGCAGCTGAGGAGCGGGCATGCGTGTGTTTGAGTATGCGATCGCCTTGGGTGGGAGTTCCCTTTCTGTGGACGACAGGGTGGGGGGAGGTGGAGGGGAGAGGTCGGGGGTGAACATGAGGCCGTTCTTCGGCTCGGCTTTCCAGGTGTTTGGGAAGGGTTTGCGGTCGTCCTTCCATGCGAGGGATTTCGTCGGGCCACCTGCTTTCTCCTCGCTCTCCGCCTGTGCTTTCAGGCGCTTTTGATGCGCCTTCGTGCGGAAGCCGGGGATCTTGTTGTCATTCCAGAGGAACGCGTACGCACTCCGTTTCTTCTGGTTCTGCTTATCAAGTAGATCGTTGAACGAGGCATTGTCTTCGGACGTGTACTTCGATTGGAATGCATCTAAACTTAAGTGCTTCTCGTAAACCGGCTTCTCCACCCCCTTCTCCCCGCTATCCTCCGCCGGTGCCATGGGATTACTCGATGCAGTGGGCGTGGCGGAAAGCTCGCGGAACGCTCGCGGTGTGGGTGTAGCGAGACTAGTGCCCCGCCGAGTCCGCCCGATACGTGGAGTCGTCATTACCTCTGTGAGTTTGCGCCCGGCCTCGCGGATCCATTCTGTATCGTGGGAGTCGAGAGCGTCGAGGTATTCTTGCTGGTGCTTCGTCTCAAGCAGGCCGGGGAAGAAGTCGCGAGCGATGATTTCAGACTAAGCCTGTAGTTAGCTTCCCGGAGTCCTAAGGAAGGGGGATCCAAGTCTTACCAAGGCATCAGTGTACCGATCTTCATCCAGAACGACAGGCGGCCGCTTGATCCTTTTTGCTGGAGGTGGCGGTGGCATGAGCTCCATGTCAACCTTGCGGGTCAGTGCTTTCGAACTCACGCTTGAAGATGCCATGGTTGTAGTTGTGGTGGTGAAGGTGGTGGTGGTTGGAAAAGTACAGTAGGAGTAAGTACGGAGGGCTGCTCTCAAGGGGACCGAGAAGGATCCAAAGCCTAAAATTCAGGCAAAGGCGCACGAAAGGTTGGAAGAAGATTGAGTTATCCTACCGTTTTTGGATGTGGCGTCAATGACTAGTCACGTGCCTCATCATCCTACAGCCACAATTAACAGGAAGACTACGCAGGGGTAGAACAATGTGTCCTCTTCGCCTCTTTTATTTTCATTGTAAGCTCTCCTGCCCACTACCTCATCTTGACACTACTACCACAGACCCTCATTTCTCTAAATTTCTCACTCTTCACTCCGCTCGGAAACTGCAAGGAAAACAAAGGCCTCGAGGCAAAGATACAAAAATACAAAAACCATGGCTCAATCCTCCGACGTCTTCGTCGTCGTCCCCATTGAAATGGACCCATCCACCAAAGCTATCCAAGCTCTCTCCTCCTCAAATGACCCCCTCCTCACCCGGGAACTGGAAGCCCTCAACAATCTCCACCAAAATTTAAAATCCGCTCCCGGGATCACCAACGGTATCCCACCTCCACCCACCTCCGTCGGGCCCAAACTATCCACCCAAATCGAACGCATGCGCCAAACCGGCAACAATGCCTTCCGCAAACAAAACTATGCCGAAGCGGTCGACCTCTACACACTCGCCATCTCTATGGCACTCAGGCGCCCTCCTTGGGAACCCAGTGCGCTGTTGAGGGAGGAGTTACAGCAGCTATATGCGAACCGTGCCCAGGCGCATATCAGCATTAATAACTGGCCCGAAGCACTCGCGGATGTGAACGCTAGTATCGATTTCAAGCGGGTGGGGAATCCGAAGGCGCATTGGAGGAAGGGAAGGTGCTTGAAGGAAATGGGGAGGTATGAGGAGGCGAAGGAAGCGTTAGAGTTTGGGTTAGAATTTGGGAATGATCCTGAATTGGCGAATATGCTGAAGGAGGTTAATGAAGCTCTTAGCAAGAGAAAGTTGTAGTGGTACTTTGCTTTTGAAGACGGCCGCCCGGTTAGTGGTATGTTCGGATGGATTCCGAAGATCTGTCTGTCTTTTTTTTTTTTTTTTGATGCTTGATGAGCTTTCCAGAGCTTGTCTACGTGAGCTGGGGGGGGGGTTTACAATTTCATGCATTTGTATGATAGTTTCAGTTCAAGGCGTTTAAATTATTACCACTCAAATACAAGCACTGATGGTGCCAGGTTACTCTAATCACCAGAATTCGAAAAGCTAGAGGGAAGGTAAAAAATCCGCAGTACCCTTGAGAACGTTCCCAATGCGGGGGACCACTCAGAACTCGGCAAGTGAGGCTTAGATAACTTAATCCATTTCATTTTTCTCTAGCCCTATTAAACTGTGTAAATACAGTCGGATGACAAAAATATTTCCGAACCATCAAAAATTCCCATACATACTGCTTAGCGGTAACAACATTTCCTCCTCCCCCACCCAAACCAGATATAGAAAGCATACAAGAATGAGTATGAATATTAAATGCAGGTAGCAGAATACATTTATATAAAGAAAATAAAAAAATAAAAATCAATACTTCGTATACCACCCATTGGCAGCGATGACTACACAAACTCAAGAAAGCATACTTCTCCACAGACTTTCCAGATAGTTTGACTCTAGCATATCCCATACGAGTGGAAGAACCTTGGCGAGACATTTCCAAACTGCCTCTGGCCCTCCTTTTGTATCCCCAATGTCGGGATACATTATTTGCATTTGTTCCTTCAGTCGATGCTAAAGATGTTCAATTGGGTTCAAATCGGGTGAACATGCCGACCATTCCATCATATCTACTCCTTGCTCCTCCTCCCATTCCTTTACCACCTCGTTCTTGTAGACCCTAGAGTTATCTTCCATGAATATAGGCTCAGCACCGGTCATTTGTTGAACCCGTTCAAGTACTAGTGGTAAAATGTTGCATAAAAGATCAAGGTAGACAAATCGGTCTACAGACCGAACAATTAATGGAACAAAGGTACTACTGTATGGACCCCAAAAACATCCCCAAACCATTAACTTTACTTCTGGCACCTTTTCATAGGTTTGAATGCATTCCTTATCCCACTTTTCATATGGGGTACGGAAAACCCATACATTTCGTGGATTCTTACTCTTTTCTATACTATATTCATCGCTCCATATCACCTGCTTCCAATCCTCCTCAGTCCAATCTGCATAGCATAAGACCCAGCGCAAGCGTGCAGCAGCCTGGTCCTCTGTTAATTTCGGCCTCTTCTTCGCTCGTCGTTTTTTAATGCTTGCTTTTGCCAAAACCCACTTAACCATTCGTATACTGACATGTAGAGTCACCGTTTGCGTTAACTCGCACAGAGGCTGCTGTCTATCTGCTTTCGCTGCTCTCAGGAGCCTTCGCCGATCACGCTGGTTTACTTTTAGGGGGCGCTCGGGTGTTGTGTGGTCATGGTGGTCATTTCTTTGCTGTCACCGCTGAATGAACTTTCGTACAACCGAGTCCTGTCTTGGATATGTCAAGTGTGGCAAGATTTTTACCACACTTTGGTAAACGTTCCAGAGTCCAATAATTTCCCCTTTCTCAATATCTGACAAGCACCCAATTCCTGGAGTCTTCTCTTTCATTTTAGGTGGCGTTCTGGCAATCGAAGTTGTCAGTTGACATTGTGTGGTTGCCACCTACGACAATTTTTTGGAAATATTTTTGTCCTAGTACTCTATATTGCCTTCCTGTTTACCAAGAAACAGGTAAATTCCCATATAAGTGATAAACCCCCCACCCCCCTAAGTCTACGTATGATTTCAGTGTGATAGCAAGGAGATCTATCAAGCCATCACATACCAGCTGGTGGTACCATTAGTTACCTTACTCCCCCTTAGTAAGAATTTAGAATACAGACCCACCCCCCCTAGGAAGTCTCTCCCAAGAGGTTATATTGTCCTTGTTGGAATAGTTCCTGGTTCCAACTGCAGGCTCTCTTGCGGATTTTGTTAAATCCATTATAGTATTCCAACCATTTGGGTCCCCTGGTTGAATGCTGGGACCTTTGCAATACGGATCGGCTCGATATTTGGAACTGCCAGACTGAGCTGTGCCCCAACCTCAAGCTCGAGTGTGTCCGTAAATGGAATCTAGAGGTAGAGTTGAGGAGTTGAGGAGTTGAGAAGAGAAGGAACCAAACTTGGAAATGTTCTGTTGGTGAAAATTGAGTTTCTGTTTGGGTGTTGTGTGGGAACTAGTGGAAATGATCACGACCCCAATGCAATTGTGCTGCTGGCATAAACTTGGTAAGTTAGATATCATAAGTAAGAGTTTCGGTCTGCCACTGATCCTTCCTTTAATCTTGCGGTTCTAAGAATTTGGGCGGGTTATGTCGAACATCCCTAAAACCAGTGCTGCAGTATCGTGGGAGCAAATGTATTTCTTTCAAGCGAGCCGTATTGTAGCGGTCTATTGGGCGTATATAAAGGTCCGGGATGGGCTTTGTGGTTGTGAGGATTTGAGGAAAAGGGGGAAACTTGAAAACTTCATAATAATATTATTATTATTATTTCTGACATTATCACAGCACCACCTGCCGCAATCTTCCGGGTCTGGGGTGCGACCCCTGTACTCGTACCGCAACCCTGATAGCCCAACCCTGATGCGGCTCTGTATTATCACCATTATCACCCCAAATTTTTTAACAACTTGCTTGTTTCCCATAACTTTTACAAACCTTCACCAACCTACAGCCCACTCACCACCTACCACAATGCCGACCGAAACAAAACGGAAACGAGAATCCTCCTCCAAAATCAATGGGCCACTTCCGGACTACACCATCACGGTAGCGCCCACTAGCGATTACCCTCCAATTCTCGGTTTGCCTCACCTCATCCCATGCATCCGCAAACTAACGGAGAGGGAGATAAACAGCTTCATCACATGGCATATCCATGCCACCAACTACTCAATTCACACCTTATGCCCATACAGCCAACCCGCCCGCCAAAAAGTCCCGGAAGGCAGAGGAATTCCTGCTCTATGGAGAGACTCCTAGAATCGGGTATGAGGGTCGGGAGATGTCCGAAGACGGAGAGTATCGGAGGCATTACGTTGGCATCTTCAATCCTGAGACGAACGGTATCGAATTACATGTTGCGCCGAAGCTTCATTTTAGTAGGATGATCAAGGCGCATATCAAGCGTGATCGGTTGGTTGACGGGAAAGGTGTTGTTATGAGTGTATGCAAGCCTCCCTCCGAATTGTGGGTTAGGGGGGGATACTGATTTAGGCCGGGAGAAACAGAACGTGGATTCGAGAACAGCCCTAGGTAAAGAATTCGGTACGAAGAAAAGCCAGAAGAGACTTCGTGAGCTCGAACTCAACAAGATTGATGTCTCGGATATGGGCAAGGACATCACTACCTCGATTGTCTCTCAGGTGGAAGCAAATACCAAGGACATGCCCACCGCGACGGAACTGGGCAACCAGATCCGCGAGAATAAGCCTATTCCAAAGGTGAACCATGACGCAAAACACCCTAATGAGGTTTACAACCTCGAAGACATCATCGGCTCCGACGAATATAATGTCATCTGGGTCCGAGAATGGGAGAGAGGTGAAGAACTGAGGAGGTATAATTCACACATATTTCTACGACCCCCTCCCAAGTGCAAATGGAATAAGGGCCAATAATAAAGCAGTAAATCCTCCTTCGTCCAATCCCGCATCCGCAAACTCTCCGAAGACAAGAACAAAAAGCACACCCGCCCTCTAAAAATTCTTCGCTACATCTCCTTCATGATAGACTTCTACCTCTTCCAGCAGCGCGGCCGCGGCCGCCTGCCCGCCATGGACCGGGTGAAGAAAGCCCTATCCATAGACCACGTGATAGCAGAGGGCTTCTTCAGACGCTTTACCGAAAAAACCATCTCCGGCGAAGGGGGAAGCGACAAAGAAACATATGCCGTATCTCCCGCACTTGCGAATAAGATCCTTTACCACATGGCTGTGCTTTGCTTAATGGTAGACCAATACGACGTGGATATCTTCGAGTTGAAGAATGATCTCGGCGTGCAACCTAAAGAGTGCCCCCCCTTAACCACGATAGTGGTTGTGTGATTCATTGCTAATTGAGGTTTTATTCTTGTGTAGGCTTACCCTAGCATTTAAAGAAGTCGGCTGCTCGATCCGAGAATTAACGAAGCCGCAGTACACCGCCATGAAAATGACGAAGGCGGAGGCCGCGCAGCATAAGAGGGCGGTGTTGAAGATTCCCTTGGAATTCCCGAAGCCACCCACTAGGAGGGCTAAGGCGACCGGGCGGTAATTCAGGTACCATGGAAGTTTTTCATAAACGTAGGGAGGGTAATGGGGAGGAGGAGCTTAGAAATTTTGTTTCTAGTGTGGGGGTGGTGTACTAGTACCGTATGTAAGTTAGTTTGATAATATCCTTTCTATCAAGTTTTTTTCTCGTCCGCTCTCGTAACCGTGGTTTCCTTGGCTTGTGGGATGGGGCAGGTTTTCGGGAAACTGTGGTTCTAGATAGTTGCCTATAAAATATCATAGCTCTAGATATGGTGTGGGAAAACTAGATTGTGAAGCTAATAGCTATCGAGTGAGATTACTTGCCGGTGTGTATTTATGTCCGAACGCCGCAATCTTTGTATGCCAGAGGGTTATATCGCGCTTGGGCGGTCTCCAAACTGCAGTTCCCCTTCTACAGGGCTTCTATCTCTCTTCCCACAATGTTGATTCCAGGATAATAAATTGATTGAATTGATTCCAGAAGATATGATACCACATCCGCGTCAGGAGTGAGCCTTCATAGGCCAGCCACAGCAACATATCCTCCCTCCCTTCAACAAACATTAGAAATTATTAGCAATCGCAAGCATTCGCTTCTCTCGCATATTTGCATTCCTTGTGTATATACCACTTTCAACATTTCTCCATCCAAAAAACACTCTAACTCAGTGTCCCTTGCTATTCCACCCCACTCAACGGACGAATCCAAGAAGTCCTCCTCCACTGGACCTCTCCGTCCAAATGCAAGCACCGGTAAACCCCCGTGCCGGCATGCAAAACTCCATCTCGTACCATTTGCGTACACTTCGTAGAATTGTGGTGGAGGCGGATAGCTGTTCTCTCATTGTCCCACCATCCTAATGATCAAAAAAAAAAATACCCTCCCGCGAAGTATAGCAAATGGAATGGAGGGAGGACAAACGCCCAACTCAATAGATGTCGCGCAAAGCAACATGATTTGAATTTTTGCGCGTCGTATGATACGTAGCTCGGGCACCTTGTCCGGTCCTGTGATATGGCGTTAGCTCGAGCTGCTCCTCCTTTCTATCAGATTCTCCGCAGATGATGATCAGACATCCAGAGCAGCCCGAGTTCGGAGATATTTTGCTTGCTGGCTGCGGAGGGGAGGAAGGCCACGTCGGGTGAGCCAGCTACCGGACTCTTTGCTGGTGCCCTCTATTCAAAAGCCAGGAATCGGGTGCGAAAAAATCAATCACGAGTGAGACACTATGATTCTGTCTTTCGTTCTCAATGATTTATACCTCCCTGTTGATAACAAATAGCTACAGAGGGACTAGAAACCCATTTCTCCCGACCCCAAGTCCATTTAACGATACCCACCCACCCCAACTCCCAAAACCTCTGCCTCAAAGCTGAAAGTCGAAGCTTTCTTAGAAACCAGTATTACTAGTACGGTAGTACAAGTACCTGGCGCAAAGCATACCTTCCGTGTTCGGCCACAGAACGATGAAAATTTCGCATCCCGTCCGCTCTGCGGTAAACAAGCATCGTATCGACCGGTTAGTACTACAGTGGGTGACCATGTGGGAATCCCGGTTGCTGAACTCTTTTACAATCTTTTAGGTTTTTTTCTTTTTTCCTTTCCAACCTTCCTCATAGAGACTATTCTCCATCCTTCTTTTGTCTGATGGGTTTGCAGAGGTTATGTTATGGTGGCTACTCGGGGGGGGGAGCACTTTTTTTATTTTTAGCTTTCGGAACACAAGTTGCTTGCTTTTGCGTACGGTACGATACGGTTCTGTATCAAATTTGTCTCAGGAAGTGGATGGGTTAGAGGTAAGGGAAGAAAGGTTTTTAGCGGGAGCTACTCGTATTGCTCGTGTTTGGTATCGTCCCTAAGGGTTGGGCTGGTTAGGAGAGTCCGGGGATATCATAGGAATTTTTGTTTCGGGACCCCCGGGAGGTATATACTGTTCCGGACCACTAACCACGATGGAACAAATTGTGCTGGGCCATACCTTTCTCTCCACGCCCATAGCTTGCAGTGCAAGTACTCGAGTGTTTGTGCGGGGGACAGTAAACAATATCTCACTGGTGGGGGAGTTCGGGGGACAAACCTCTGTTGGTCGAGCAAGTCATATTTAGCGGTCGTGAATCCCGCAGGTCCCGGGCACTAGAGAGAATATCTACAATGTGAGATTTATAGCACCTGCGAAAAGCGACTGGGGCGTTCGGTAACCTGCAGAAGCAGTCTTCCATATCTTTAGCCATCTCCTCTTCACGAGCACAAAGTTTACGTTTTCCCGCTCCATTTTTTCATTGCAAGTCTGTTTAGATAGCATCGCAAAGGAAAAAAAAAAAGTGACAAAGCCTTAGAAACACGCTTCCCAATAATCAACTGGGTTCCCTCGACCGAGAAGTCAAACCCACTTCGGTTGTTTGAATCGTAACTTCATCCCTAGTTATGCGTTCCCAGTTATTTTCCTCTCCACGATTCCCAATTGCTTCCGACTCGAGACTCGAAGTTTTTTGTTGTTGTTGCTGTTGTTGGCAGTGGTGAGGTGTCGTCTTAATTTCGAAGATAAGAAGAGGGGTTTTTTTTAGGAAGTTATTTTCGGTGATGGGTAGGTAAGGGTGAGTTGTTGTTTATTTGCTATTGGGGAAGTTAGTATGTCGTTTGCCACAGCAGTAAGGTGAAGATGTCTATTGATAGTACGAACCTGCGAGCTCTAGTCTTTCTTCTCTTTCGCTTAAGACGCCTAACGCGCTTCTTTCTCCATTTAGCTATATGAATCGCATGTCAGTAATTGCTCGTGTGATATTGCTCAAAGAAACGGTGAGAGTGTGTGAGAGCCATACCTCTCATCGTGGAAGATGTAAACTAAAAAGGCTTCGTTAGTATCCAATACAGGCCCAAGGTGAGATTCGTGGGAGACTCACGTTATCTTGGCGATGATGTGTGGTGAGTGGAGGTGGAGGAGAAGGTTGAAAGGCCGATAAGGAGTTTAGGGAGTGTGGAGGTCTGTGTGGGTTTGCCAAGACTAGCTCTCAAAAGTGCTGTCCCACTGGGGCGAGGGCTGACCCTAGGGTCCCTCCCTAATTTCTTGACAACCTCGCAAGAATTGTGCCTATCATAAATGCGGAACGGTAGGTCGGGTAACTTAGCTGAGGCCTTACTCGCCCGAAGGTTGCCATCATAATCTAGGCGAAGTTAAGTTTGTCTCCGCAACATCAACGTGGTGGGCTCTACCATAGTGTTTAGATCTATCATACACATAGTCTAAATTCCTGCACAACCTTCCAATCATCACTACCAAAAAAAAAAAAAAGAGGAACACAACAACAATGGCACTGGTGAGAGCATTCTTTGCGGTGATCGGTCTGCTTTATAACATATATTAATAACTTCCGGAAATAGCGGTCCGCCCTCCAAAAACAATACATGACCTTACTCTCACACTGGCCAGCGGATCCCCTCCGCCCCAACCTGTCATTCCCCGACTTTCTGCGCAGGCGCGTCGAACAGGAGCTAGGCTCCCCACACCAACTAGAATCGAGTCCGCTATCAGCGGTAAGCACAGCTGTTAAGGAAGTTGAAGCGCGACCAAAGTTCGATGAGATGCACGAAAAAAGGCAATTGAATGCCCTTTCAAGCCTTCTCGAAGACCGATACAAGAAGATGGTATACTCTCGCCCTCGTTAAAGCCTCCGTGAACCTATATAGGAGCAGTAATAGTGACGAAGGCGGTCCACAGTATCCGGTTACAGATCATATTCTGGCGCCAAAGAGTCAGCCGGATTATTATAAGAAGCTGTTGGAAGAACTTGAGGTTGCTCCAAAGAGGTCTTGGTTGGGGAGACAGCTTAATTCTTGGAAGGGTTGGATTCGGCTGAAGTAGGCTGAGAATAATCGGCCTGCCGTGAATAATGTATTTGTAGCGTATTATGGCTTGATTGTCTTAAGGAGCTCTTTTACACCGCGAGTGATTCTCTCCTAAGGCATAAGAGCAGGTTCTGGAAAGTGGGATTTGCGCTGGTGGCCTCTCCCTCAGCTCCTGCTCCTCCTGCATCCTTTAAACTGCCCCTGCTCTTCATCTTTGGCGATCGGTTAGATGCCTGGTGATATACTTTTCGGCGCTAAGTTAGATTTCAATGGAGTAACATTTCACCACCACCCGTTGGATTCTGTTGTCCTGAAAACCCCCAATCTTTGGTGGCGCTGGAATTGCGCATACCGAGTGATCGGTTGTGATGTTCTAGGGGCGCAGGAAATTTGAACCCGAGATGCCTGTCAAGACTTCGATGGCCATCTGGAAGCTAGATCTCAGATCTTCAAATGCTTCACATGTAAGTACCTGTTAATGCAAGTAAAAAAAGGCAGAATGGTTACAACAAGCCTGTCCCAGTCATCATCGCCTATGATTCGAGAGGCATCACCTTTTCGGCCCTATTTATGGGTAATCGTTCTGTAAAAAATAAACCGGTAAATGCCATATGATACAAGATTTCGCAAGCAACAAACGTCATCATCAACTAATTTACAGTTGCGAGGCGAGGTAGTTTCAATGCTTAATGAGTGATACAAGTAATAATGACAATTCTAATCAACAGAAGCCAAACAGCAAACGCGAATAAAGAAAGGCAACCAACTAATACGGTATTTTGTAGGCGGTGACTAACAAATATCGCATGCCTCAAATTATGCCAAAGAAATCCCGGTACATAGGGTACATAGATGCGGAGAAGCGATAGACATATCAATGAGCTTTCCATCTATGCCCACCACCCTTCTGCCACAACCACAAGGCATCCGTAGAATATGCCTTAACACTCATATGCCCGCCAGTTGCCGCAGCCGCTTCCTCGAGTCCCTCTATAACCCTTCCTTCTGCTATACACTTCCACAACCCCTGTACAATCTCCTCGATGCTGTAGCCTCCCTGCTCAGTACCCCTCCCAAGTCTGTAAAGTATCCTCCCCAATGTCTGTATAGCCATGCACCTCTGGGTAGGAAACGTGGACCTAGCAAGGTGGGCCAGCTCCGGGACCGTATATCCGGCAGCGTTAGGCGCGGCTGCATGATGGTGGAGTCCCAGGTGGCCAGGGAGCTCGCGGGAAACACGGGGCGGGAGGAGGTTCCCCTTAAAATCGAAACGCAGGGATGACGCAGATAGGTCAAGTTGGGACGGGTGGTAGGATGATTTGTCTTCTTCAGACGAGATGGGTGCCATCCAGGCGAGTCTTGAGGGATCGGCAGGAAGGCTGGGAAAGTATTTTGTATGGAGCTTTTCGAGAAATTCAGGGGAGTCGGGGTCGAGTTCGTCAATCTCGGCTGTTGCAGTGGGTTTTGGGAAGTGCATGTTAACTGAAGGAAGAAGATTATCGTCATCAGCCGCTGGTGGGGGGTCGTTCTCGAAAGTGACTTTCTTTGTAAGCTTTGGGCGGTCACTTGGTCTTTGTTGACCTTCTGAAGTTGGATTGGAGCCCGGCCCAGAATTCAATCCGTTTCCGTCAACTTTCGAGTCCTTGAAGGAGCCATGAACTTCCCCGTTACCCATCTGGGGTTTTTTTAGAAATCGCTCAATAAGGCCAGCAGGCAATTTTTCCATCAACTCCTTTCGCTCCTTCTCAATGTCATCTAGTGACATGTTCGCAATGAGTTGCTCATTTTGATCACTTATAATTTGCCTCTCCGTTCGCTCTGGAGTAAGGGTGTCTTTCATCTGGTTTTTCGGGAGAGTCCCCTGTATTCTTTGTCTGAATTTTGATGGACCACGAACCCGATTTCTATGCTCGGGGAACCCAGTGCTTTGAGATGCATTTGGAGGAAGAACTGGAGCTGTAGGTATGCTATCAGGGCTATTTTCCACAATGTCTCCGATGAGACTTGAACGAGGCCGGGGTGCGAGGGTTTGGTCGTTCTGAGAATCATTGCCCAAGGGTAGGACAAAACGCTCACCTGGAATCTCCATTTTGTTATCGTTGTTAGATTATCTAAGTTGGACTAAGTGGTCCTGGATTTGAAAGATTTCCGGGGCTAACGTGCGATAAGCTCACTCAATACATTGCCATGTTACATCATAAGCAGGAATCAAAGAGAGAAGTATGCCAAGATTTAAAAGAAAAATATGCCAAGACTTTCACGTTTGAGCCTCATATATCTCCTCAGAAATCGAGTGATCATTTGTGGACATCTCTGGATGCTGGTGTGAGGTGCTGTCGTAATACCTCTTTTCCCAAATCTCACCATTTCCCGCCTACGAGCCTCTCTTTTACATACCCTTTTTTCTCCTCCTAGCCCTCCACCATCCTTACTCCCTCATTTTCCACTGAGCCTCACTAGCCACTCCCATTTGACGGTATTTTTTAAAAAAAAAAAATCAGAAAAGTATTACTGTAATACCTGGAGCTAAAAGATGTCGATTTCTCTCCCAACCCGTCTTCGGCCGATAGTCCCCCACACCGCCAACCCGGTTAATGGAGAGAATTCTGGTATTGAAAATGTTAGAGCACTAGCTCTTGCATCTTCAGAATCTGTCAGAATTACCAGAGAGATCCATAACCAGGGTATCCAAGGTTCGGTCGCTCGAAGCCTCAATCCCCCCAACCAACCTGACATCCCTCACTTGATTGCGGGGCTTCTGTTGGTACAAGGAGAAAATGTCAAAGGTAATTCCCCCGTGTGCTGCCAATGCCATCCTCTTAGACCGTCTTATTAAAGATCTACCAGGATTCGAGGTATTTTTGAGGAAGGATCTTCTCATTGGAAGAGATCCGAATAAATGTAGTGTCTTTCTTGAGGACCTTACCATATCAAGACAACATGTCCGGATATATTCAGTCATATTTGAGGAGAAATCAGAACCACTTGTTTACTGCGAAGATATCAGTAGGAGCGGTAGCCTTCTAAATGGCAAATTTATCGGTACACATAGCAGTGTGCTACTCTCACATGGAGATGTAATCAGGCTTGACAAACATAATTCTTTCTGTTTCATTCAACCGAATGCTCTCAGCACGCAGAGGCCTATATTCGACACAATCTTTGAACGGGAGAGGACTAGGTTAACACCTAACTTTATGATCACGGATCGTGTTCTGGGTAAGGGTGCATACGGCAGGGTCCACCTTGCATGGGACCTTGTGAACTGTCGGCAGGTTGCCTGCAAAGTTGTGGGATACGGCCCAAACGTGGTTCAAGGGAATCCACGTAAGGCAAGGGATTTACATATGAGAGAATTCGAGATAATGGCGTCCTTGAATCACGTAAATATATTCCCCATTCTCTCTTCACTCACTCACTTGTACTAATACCAGTACCGTTTTGCTCTAGCCAAACATCTTGGCCCTTCATAGGGTTATCCGTACTGAGCAAAATATCTACATGTTTTCGGATCTAATCACGGGAGGTGATTTATTTTCACGCCTCGACTCGGGCCCTATGACCGAGATAGAGATTCTACCCATTGTCTACCAATTGCTGAAGGCTCTTGAGTACATGCATAAGCATAGCGTGGTTCATCGAGACCTCAAGGTTCATCCCCCCTTCGCTATCGCGTATAGGAGCACATTTTACTGATTTCAATTCCGTAGCCCGACAATATTCTGTGCACTCGCCACGCTAGTGGGTCCCGAATTGTACTTGGCGACTTTGGTTCCGCAAGATTCATTACACCAGCGACTACAATGCGGAGCCAATGTGGCACTTTGGAATACCTGGCCCCGTCCGCTCCCCCACCCTATCCACACTACGTTTTACTAATGAGATCTTAGGGAACTTATTACCCCACACTTAGTTCCCCTGACTATGGGATATGCAAGTGCAGTTGACTACTGGTCTCTGGGAGCTACTGTGTATACACTCCTAACCAATACCACACCAATCATAGGACCGTTTGCTAGGATTCCTACCAGACTTCAGGACTACGAACTGACTCGCCTGGAGGATAATGAAGAAGAATGGATCAACATATCTCCTGAAGCAAAAAACTTTGTTCGCCGACTTATGACCATTGATCCCAAAAAGCGGATGACCAGCGATGAGGCTCAATGTCACGTTTGGCTTGCTAGACATATGGAGGACTTGGAGGATCTTTACGAAAGAGCAACTAAAGACTGGGAGCCACTGGATAGGACTGACTTCAGAGTCGAGGAAAAAATAATTGACGAAAACTCTGATCCATTCCATAATCGTCCAGCCAGTTTCCAGAGCTCCATTAGCCAGATCCCAGATCTGCTATTTGAGGGTTCCCTCTCATCTGATAAATCTTCTGGGAAACCTAGAGAACTCGGACGAACTTAAATCGGGAGCAAATAACTTTCAGAGGAAGGCTAGAGAAAAAGAAAGAAAAAAACAATTTAAAATTTCCCCTTTGGTACCAATAAAAGCTGATTAGATACTAGATGGAATTTCTCTACAAGTACCCCTTTATCCCCCGTCGACCATTTGTCCCTTTTAAGATTCTTGCTAAGACTCGATTCAATGTACCTTTTGGGTTGTTATTTCCGGGCTTTCTCACCTATTTGCTTCCAGCCATTTTTTAATTGCGATATATTCCCGAGCTCAGAAGAGTGATTGCTGATACCCCAGTAATGAGGGATATGTTTCTTTTTGTGATACTTTGCTTCGGCCCGCACACAGTTGCAACTATTCGTAGTCAACTAAGGACTGCTTTCGGAAACTTTCTTCTCTACTTCATATCCAACCTAGCAGCATCCGAAAGGGCCATTTGTGGTAGAACAGAATTAAAGTCATAAAAAACCTTTCCATCATATGAAATCATACTGTGCTGCTATAAGTGCAAAGACTGATGAGTGATGACTTACCGGAATTCATTGCTGAGGCCATTTGAAGCCTTTTCTCACGGCCACGGATAAGGTAGCTTACTAGTGGAGTTTGGGAAATAGAGGAGGTTCTGAAGGAGATTATCTTCCCAACCTATTGCTAGTGTAACATGTATACTAGCTAATGTATTGTACTACCTATAACTATAGGTCACTCCTTAGTAATGAGCCGAGTCACTATTATCTCTGCTTCAAAAACATGGCAATTCGATACCAGCAACCGGGCATTGCTTCACATAGCATGACTTTAAAGAATTTATAATAAATTGATGGAGGTATGATACACTACCAGAATCAGCGAAAACAACACAACGGGCAAAACATGACCGAGAGCAACGCCGACGCTCGAGGCCTCGAGGGGGACACCTTTCCTAGTATGGGTTTACCAGGAGCCAGTGACACTTATGTGCCGAGGACGGATATTAATAAAGAGAGAAAAAACCCTGATTTCTTCTTTTTCTTTTCTTTGCCACGGGAGTTACCCTACAGACTAAAGTTTAGACGGATTGTTAGTTCAAGTTGAATTGAGAACCTTGCTTCCTACTCCCTCACATGGCCACAAATTCTCTGTCAAACATCCTTTCGCCACCGTGCTATCATAACAAATCACTCGTCTGTAAAAGAAAAAACAAGAGTTCAAAAGCTGTACAGCAAATATTGCACCAATTCGAGTGCTCTACGACATGTGGCTAGAACCATACGATAGCACATGTATGAGTTGGTCCGCCAGGACCTTGACACTAGGCTAGGCTATACCCAACGGTATCGACAAGAGCCGATAGACAAGCGCATGTCATCGTCTGGCGCCGGTACGTAGACGATCCGCGGCTATTTGATTGCTTCAAAGCACATCAGTGAAGGGGGCTGAATTTGAGTGGCTCTACCCGCCCTTGATCACTTTCCTAATATTTCTTCCCTCCGCCATAAATTCTATAACACAGCATCGGTCAATAGCAGCACAACTGACTAAGAAACCCTTCTCTGACCCTGAATTCCACACTCTTTAAGCCTATATAAAATTGGTGCGGAAGAAGTGCCGTGTACCGTCGGTTGTGGAAGAGAAAGAGCATAACGTAAGCCACATAACTAAGAAAGAAATTTAAATCGTGCAGCATGCTCAGACTCCGCTTCACTGTACAGGATCGCCCCCAAATCCACTCATCCCTCCCCCATTGTCGAAGACGAGATTCACACAGGGCTTCATGGCCCCGCGTTTTCCCGAATATATAGGCGGTCGGAAACTCTAAGTAGTGCGGTTATCTACGATACAGAAAGCCAAGACAATTAAGGGGGCATCTAGTTGCCAGGTAAACCGCTGTCCCGACCTCGAGCACAAGTCCGTAATATAGCCAAAATTTCACCATGAAATCTTACATAACCCCCCCCCCCAGCGGGAGTTAGTCCTGTGAGAGAAGCATACAGAACGCCTCGTCGGGGAGCAAAACCTAACCCCGAGATTCTCGCTATATCTCCAAAAATACCGCATCCAGACACTTGGAAGCATTATTCCCAGATCAGTCGAGTGATATTTGGTGATGACACTGAATAACAAACCCAACAATGCCAAGACCCCATCAGCAAGGGGCCTCATTCCCCTCTACTGCTGGCAACGTAACGTCATGACCCAGAACAAGAGGTGTCGCCCCTGCCTCTTCTCACCTTCTACTTTTACACGGCCGGGTTAATCCCCCAGCCAGGTCATCCGATCACACGGGTACCAAACAGAAGCGTATACATGATGGCAGTCTCAGCTACACTATCCTTTCTCACGGAGCAATTCAACGAGCGTGTCGCGGACAAATCTACGCGAGAGAAGTTCTACCATGACGTGGTAGAATTCTCATATCACCAGCCCTTTGTTGCGGTAGAGACCCTATCTATGGCTTGTTTTAAGGCCAACCTACTAACCGCGCGATGGTATAGGCTTTCGTGTTTTCGCAATTCATGTTCGCTCTACTACCTCTACTAGGATTCCTAGGATTCTCGCTCGGGGTGGTAATCATCACCTTAGGAATTTGCGGCTTCTGGATCGGTGTTGGGCGTATGTTGCTCCCTAATCTCGCGCATGGGTATAGACAGCTAATAAGCGCCAATAGTTTGTGTCCTGTTCTCGACGCTAGCTTTCACCGCAACCATCGCGACGGTAGTCTGGCTATGTGCATGCGCGAGCTTCTTGTGCGCAAGGTGGTTTATGCGACTGGTTTCCGGAGCACCGCCAGGAGTAAAGCAATACGCAATCGAGAGTTCAGACAAAATGAAGGAGGATAGGATTCTCCGCGGCAAATCTGCCGCGGCCAAAAGGCCGGAGCGAAAGCTCCAGGAGGACACCCCACCATACAGAGAAGCGATGGCGGTCGAGTCTACTAATTCCGCGGATGAATCGGGCTCGGATATCGATAGTGAAAAAGGCAACGATCAAAGGGTACTCACTCCGCCTGGAAACACGGTGCAATCTCAGCCGTTAGGAACTCTGGGTGAAGGTGAGAAGCTGAGAAGGGATATTGAGCGGAGTTTGAGATAGTCCAATGTATTGGCAAAGTGGGGACCGGGATTTGGAAGGCGTTAATGCTGTTTTTGTTGCTTCACTAATATCTCTTTGTGGAGTCGGTGGTTGTGAGGCATACTTTCCTACTGTACTCGAGTATTTGAAAACGGGTCTTTAAAATCGGATCAAAGTGCTCTAGTCCTTTGTGCGTCACTCTTCGGTAATCGGGATGGCGATCGTGATCTTCAGGGCCCACAACCCCAAACATGTCCCAGGCTCCCTTCTCAAAAGGGCAGGCAATAGAAAGAAAGAAGCTGAGTCGGATAATAATATTATTATCATACATGAAACACTTCTCTCGGTTTTAACGGGAAAAACGTCGGTCTCTTTTGAATTTCGCGACATATTTATTAAAACTCTGTGAGAATGTCCCTTATAATAATAATATCATAATAACAATTATTATAATGGTATTGTCTAGATATCCGCAAACTCACCCACGAAGCATGACGCCCCCAATTCACGTGCGCACCACCCTAAGAAGGATGCCATAATACGGTAGTTCCCCACCTCCTTTCCTAGTCCCTTCACCCTCCGCTATCCCCTGGCCAATAGCCCCGCTCACGGCAGATATTATTCGTTCTCGACTCAAAGCTGATCTCGGAGGTAAGTAGGTTACTCTAAGGTTAACGACTACTATGCCATGAGTTTACTGTGCCCTAAGTTTACCGATTATATGAATGCCCGGCGGAGGGTAACACGCACCCAGGATATCGCTCGTAAAAGCTCAGCAGAATGCAGGGGGGAAGATCTCCCGAAGCTAAATATGGCAACCAGTCACTTGTATCAGGGTCCATACGGGGTTTAGCATGGACAAGGACGGGCTCATGACACATCACTCGGAGTACCAAGTACTTGCATAATTGTCCGAATGGCTTATCAGCCAGCACTCATTAGTCATACCATCATGACTGTGCAGGTACCTAGGGTAAGATAGAAGGGCCCGGATTCTGGCATTCCCAAAGCTTGGATTATCGATCGACTAACGGGTGACAGCCTACTGTTAGATAAACACTCGCACTGACACCCCAAAGACCAGGGAAGTTTGTCGGTTGGCGCGTAACCCAGGCCGGTGCAAATGCTGTGTTAGTGTCCGAAACATTTTCCAAGAACAGAGAGGTTCGGTGGAGGAACATCCTATCACACAAGGTCCAGCGGCGGCGATTATGCAAGTATTTGTCTTACTCGTCGAGGATCCAAATTAAGATATCGTGAACGGCGGAGCCTCCATGGCTATTCAAAGGCGTGCAAGACAAGCTGAGCTCATAGGGCTCTATAACGATAATTGCTATTGGCGGGGAAACGCCTAGCGGACAATTCCAACTTCCGTGGTCTACCCGCTCTATTTACCCCTAAGGCGCAGAATTCGCAAAACCGCATAGAATCGCTCACGCCTTGATGATCTACTTCCTGGGTATATATACTCCACCTTCGCCCTCACTTTCCCTCCCGAGATCCAGGAAACTAGGTGGCGGGGGGCAAAGTGCACTTTGCGTCGTGACGTTGCATGACGGAAGACCACCATAATCGCAGGAAGCACACGATACCTGTAAGGTACTAGTACTGTACCCTACCTACACAGCCTGGGTAGAGAAGCCGCGAGCGGTGACCAGCGTCTAACCAACATGCCATTTAACACCGGACTGGGAAAAAGAGGAAAAGGTATTTATTATAAGGCATCATTACAGTAATGAAGCACGCGAGAGCACATAACTTGGCCAAAATGCAGTTAAGGGGGCTGTACAATCGGCACCCGTATGTATCCAGCAATGCCCATACCAAAAGACCAAAGAATTGCTGATGGGAATGGGAATGAGGGAATGTGTCACCCACAAATCAGATATTCCACCTGAATAGGCGCAGAGCCACAGATTCCGACACGGGCGCTTATAACTTTGTTTTCCCCCCCACTCTATATTCCCCCGTCCTCCCCTCAACCGCACAGATCCGGTGTCGTATGGGCAGGACCCCACGAGGTACTTGTACAGTGCGTCAATGTAGCGTTAACTTCCCTGTCTTATCGAGCGAGGGGGAAAGCCAACTTTGGGAGGAAGTATAGTATTTCTAGAAGCATTTTACAGCCAGCTTCTTCCCCGAGCGAAACTGACGGTCCCTGTAAGCTTAACTCTACCTACACGTGCTGGGAAGATACATTCCCATACCGTAGCCTGCATACAGGTAACTGTGATAATACCCTTTTCACCATACGAGGGAATGAGGTGACACAGCAACAAGGTAACCACACGTTCGCTCATAAATATCCTTCCCTCCTCCCTTCTTCTTCTCCTCTTCCTCCACCCCTTCTCCGGAACAGGCGGTTAGCCTGCCGTTTCAAAAGCTTCTCTTCCTCTCTCTCACGGAAGAAACCTAAAAGCATTGTCTCCGGGATTAGTATTTACACACCCCAAAGGCCATACTGTACTAGTACCTTGGGAGAAGTAGCCTAGGAATCGAGGAAAACTGAATTCACCACCTTAGTAAAGAGAGGGGGGCTAATAATCACATAGTCCACAATACCTACTCGTACAAGAATGTCGGACGAATATCCGAACCGCATGTTAACGTATAAGCAAGAAAGAAAAAAGCAAAATTCTCACTGAATCACACACAACCGACCGAACTGAACTGAAGGACCCTGATTTCCAAGCCACCCCCCCTTTTTTTTTCTTCAACTTCAACTTCAACCTATCTATACCCCGCTTAATTTATGATTAGGTTAATGACAACCGACACGCAAGAGTATGAGAAGAAGAAGAAGAAAAATCACCACTCTACGGTTACTTGCACTCAGTAGGAAATGCCTTTGCACTGGCTTTTCCTGAAAATGTGCGAGCATTGGTACGTTGCCGGAAGAGAGGAAAAGGAAGAAAAGGAAAGGAAAAGGAAAGGAAAAGGAAAGAAAGAAATCGTCACTTGTCTGCCTGTCTGTCTGTCTGTCCGCTTGTCTTTCTCTCATACGCATACTGCACATGGATGACCTCCCTTACTTGTAAAACCGAAGAAGAAGAAGAAGAAGAAAAAAGTTATATGTGATATCCAAAGAAAGAGAAGGAAAAAGGAAAACGAGAAAAGAAAAAAAGAAATAAGAAAAAGAAAAAAAAGTCCCCACCCCTTCTTCCTTTCTTCCCTCCTTCCTTCCCTCCTTCCTTCCTTCCTTCACCCCTTAAGTTAGCGACCAAACTATCGGTATGATAGAAGAAGAAAACTATGCTACTGTATGAAGTAGAAACCAAAAAAATGAATGAAAAAAAAAAAACACCTTACATGAAGAATAAGCAAAAGTACGAGTACTTTTATCTAGGGTTTTATCATGAGCGAATAAAGAAAATGGTGACAAGGGAGATCTGCCAGATCGCAAGGATTACCATAAATAGAAACGAAAGAAAAAAAAAAAAAAAAAAGAAAAGAAAAGAATTTATACACCGGTAGTAAATAGGCAGGCAGGCGTACTGTACTCGTACAGTACAAGTAGTCAAGTATCGTGATGCTGTCCGTTTTGTCCGTCCCCCGTCATACATACTGTACGGGTATGATAGGTATTTAAATTAACTTACCGGTAGAGTGGAAAGATCGCCATGTCGACGAACCATCAAAGAGGTACGCATAGCGGGTAGGAAAAAAAAACATAAAAAAAAAATAAACACAGTATCATACCTCTACGAGTACAACAGGTGCCGGTATGCACTATGCACAAAGGAAGGGGGGAGAGAGAAGAGTAAAAACTACCGGTACGATAGTCAACAGAAATCAATTCTACCACCAAGTATGATACTTGAGTACTAGTACAGGTAACATTACAATACCGGTAGGGTAATTCTATAAGATAAATCAAATATTTACATACAAAAACATACACACAAAAACAAACGAAACCATAAAACACCCCCAACTAAAATCTCGGTTTTTTTTTTCTTTTTTCCTTTTTTCCTTTTTCCTTGTGCCTTTTCTTCCCTCCTTCACCCCGTACTCGGGTATTCGAGTACCGGTACCGCATAAAACTAGCTTATGATAATCATGATTCCCCACTAAAATAATAATGTAAGGAATCAACTCACGTGTAAGGTAAAAAAAGGGGGGGGGAGAGGGGAACAGAAGGGAAAAACAGTAAACACGCCTGTATTCACCCTTAATAGATAGATAGATACTGTAGATAGATAGATAGGCGGGAGGGGAAGGAATAAGAGAAAAAGGGGATAAAAAAAAAAAAAAAGGTTAAAGTAAGGTAAGTTATGATAACACGTGAACATTAAAGGAAACTTCGGAGCGCTTTGAGAAGGTTGAGTGAGCGAGTGGATGGAGAGATGAATAATGGGCCAAGACATACACTAGATAATGGGTATACAAGGTGACAAGATGAGAGGTAAGGTGAGGTAAGTTAATCAGAGTGAAAAAGGAAAAGAGAAAGAAAAAAAATGTAAAGGAAAAACAGAAGAATGGATGGGGAGAAAAACCAAAAAGGAAAAAGGGAAATTTTAGACAAAGATGTTGACGAAAAAAAAAAAGTGCTTGTTTGTGATGGTATCTTCCCGATATATATAAAATAAAAGAGGAAAAGAAAAGAACAAGATATACATCTCCTATCCCACCTTTACTATCTCCTCCAGAGACTACCTATCTTTTCTTCCTTCCTTCAAATACAAATATGTAAATAAAATAAAAAGAAAGCCTAATTTGCCCACTGTTTCCCCCTCACCAGCACCAACCGATAGATAAGAATAAAAAAATAAAAAATAAGGAGAATGGAAAATGAAAACCACGAATCAATATAAAAAAAATAATAGTCAAGAAAAGGTAAACCAAAAAGGTGAAAGGATCCAAGTGCACGTCTTATCCAGAAGCATGAAAAAAAATGAAAAAAAAAAGGGGTCACGCCTATCCTATCCACACAATAGAGCATTCCAACCATCCCTTACCAATATTTTCTTTAAGCCCGCAAAAAAGACATCCAATGGTGTATCACTACTCCCCCAAAACAAAAAAAAAAAAAACGCAGGTCATTGCGGAGCGGAGTAAGCAGAAGAAAGCAATTAAAAGACATTCATAAAATCATCCCATTTGTTGCATCAAGGGGTGCATCAGTGTACTTGGAGCAGGCATAGATGGGGGCATCCCCGTCATTGGCATTTGTTGTGGCATGTAGTTGCTGTGCTCCGAAGTCTCTGAGACGTCCTCGATGGTCTGGAGCTGGTCCTCTTCGTTTTCTAGATCCTCTTCGCTGTAACTGCCAGAATAGTTTTCAGCGTTGCCCGACGTACCATCGCGGTCATGGGTGCGACGATGTTGGGCTAGATTGTCTGATCGGGAGAAGGCTTTGTTGCAATGATTGCAAATATAAGGCCGCTCTTGTGTATGGGTGCGCACATGTCTAGGTTGTGTTAGCGGGTGTTTGTTAAACGACCAATGGATTGGATGCGAGGGGAAGAGCCAACCTTTTAAGATGCTCTAATCTCTTAAACAACCGCCCACAAGACGGGATAGGACATGAGTGCGATTTCTGGGGGTATGGTCCAACTTCCATCACAGTAGCGCTCTTGGCACGTCTTATTGCGCCAGGGCGCTTAATCTCGGACCCAGCACCATATTCTGACTGGTCACAATTCGATGTAGGGGGTAACGAGCTGTCCTCATGCTGCTGCTGGATCATTGAAGAATGGGGAGCCGGACTATGGTCTTCTACATAGGAAAGCGGTGTACCGTGCCGCGATAGATCAACAATTTCTCGGGGGGGCATCTGCATACCCATGTTCACTGGAGGTGAATCAGAATCACTACCATGATCCGACATGGGAACGACAGAAGCTGTTGCTGAACGTCTTAGATGATCACTCGCCCGGCGCGTGTGACCGGTAGCAGCGTTTGTGGCGTGAGCCAAAGAACTGACTCCGGGGGTGATGGATGATCGTCTTCGACGCTGCTTGTATGTGGGTGAGCCCTCGATAACCGAGTATACATTATTGCTATATGCGCGCGGGGTAGAGTTGAAGGGAGGGGCGCCGCTAACGGGAGGCAAAGGAAGCTGGATCATGCCATGGAGTGCATTAGCCCCAGTATGATCGGGCAATGTATTATACACATTGCCGTCATGGGCAAGATAATGAGGCTCAGAAAGCTGTACCATCTGCTGGGGGGGAGTAACAGGCTCGTACGAGATACCTCGAGCACTATAATCTTCTGACGGAGCAAACGACGGAGCCGGGGAATACTCCAAATAGCTCGGCATTGACACTGTTCGCTGATGCATCGGCCTCGATAGCGGCATTCCCGTCCTGTCTGACGGATAATAGGGTCCTACCGAAAATTCATCTTCCCTTTTCACCGGAGCCGGAAGGGACATCGGTATCTGAGGATACGAACCCATCTGGCCCATATCTTCATGTACAACGGGCATTGAGTGGGGTATTATCTGTGGCGGCGGCATTGAATCCATAGCGCGCATCACAGGGGAGGTAGAAGAGGAGTAAGAAGCATGAGCAGAAAATGAAGATGAGTTCGCCTGCTGCGCCTTTGTGAGTTGCTCAAAAAGCGACTGCGACGAGTCGAATTCGAATGAAAGAGCCGGTTCGCTAACAGCAACCGTTGTAGCTTCCTGTCCCATCTTTTCCCTCTTGAGATCACGCTCCAGCGCATCTAGGAAAAGGCGATCATGAGGAACACTATACCAGTAGAATACCTTCTGCTTCTTCTGGGTTCTAATGCAGTTATTTTTGTAAAGAAAGTCGAGAAAAGGGCTCTTAGGCTCCTCCAGCGACGCGTCTGTCCCAGACTTTAAGTTTCTCAAGTCGGAAAAAATCCCCTCTTCAAACTTTTTTGAATTCTTCACCGGTCGGCCAAACGCCTGGAAGCGAAACGACAAGCATCTTACGATATCGGTACCCGAGATATGGAAAAGGTTATTCCTGTCAAACGGTTAGCGAGAGCCTTTTCTCCCTTCTCTTCACTTTGGAAACCTGGCGATCGGGTTGAAAAAAAAAAAGGCAGAAACCAAGCAAGACGAGGCTGTTTTTTTTTTTGCCGTGAATTTTTTTTCACCCATCCCTTTTTCTTTCCATCTTCTCCCATCTATTCAGAGAATTCATACCATAAGACACAGGATACGTATTCGCCTGTCGGTAATAAAAACCGCCTTATGTATTGATCAGGCGCCCAGTCGACTGGGGCAGAAATGAGAAAGTATTTCACTGTACAAAATCGTCAGCACAAAGTAGTTCTCCTCAACGCTATCACCCAATCTCAATTCTCCTTCTTTCTCTTCTTCGCTCTCGAAAGCCGCGAGTCTCCACCAATGGCCCCTTCTTCACATCCTTTCACCCAAACCCCTCCCATCAAAATAAAATAAAGGTTATAAGAATGCGCTTACAGTTATCAACTTGCTGAAGAGCTACTTGAGCATCCTGAGGTAATGACTGTTGGGCTTCAGTCGAGAGCATGAAAGTTTCAGGCTTCTGATTCGCGAGGTGATGCTGGCTATACATTAGGTGGGCCATGATTATTGCGGTCACGCCTTGGAGCGGCCGGCACTGTGATAAATTTTTGGCGGAATATGTTGCGAATTCTGGGCTGCAGTTGTGGTTGCAGGATGGTGAAGGGCTAAAGAGGGGTAAATGCTCAGGATGGAGTAAGTCTCGAGCGGCTGCCGCGTAGTATCTAGCCCAGGCAGGATTTCTTAAAAAAACGAAGGATTTTTTTTTTGAAAAAATGAAAAATAAAATAGCGAAAGGCAAAAAGCAATGGAGCACGGCTTTAGAGAGCGTGATGAAGATCTCGAAGGAACGAAGGGGAGGGTCCTGCCTCCGTTGTCCTGCGCAAAGAAAGACCTGTCCCTTGGACGCGTAGACGTAAATAATAATAAAAATATAAAAACAAAGAGAGCCCGTGAAGTAGGGGGAGAATTACTTCAGAAAGCTTTTTTTGGGAAGAGGGGGTAAGGAAGAGGAAGAGGACGAAGGGAGAGGAATCTGGGACGAAGAGAACGGAGAGGGACGAAGGAGATGATGCACGGTGTTAATGAAGGGATGTGTGGGTAGAAGAGAGGGAGAGGAGGGGGGATGGTGGGTGGGTGTGGGCGGCTAAGGGGGTGTGGGTAGAGGAGAATGGAGCAGCAAGCACCAGAGCGAGGGCAGGCGGCGGCAGGGCGGGCTGAGTTGGGCAGGCCTGCTGCTTGGGTGCTTAGTGTTGGTTGGAGAGCGACCGCTGCTGCTGTGGGGAACGAGGACGAAAAGAAAAAAAAATATGGGAAAAAAAAAAAAGCGAGTTCCACCGTTCCTGGCGGTTGGTCCCCTTGATGTAGAGTTAAAGGTAGGGAAGTAGAAAAATGAGGGAATGAGGAAATTATTTCAATGAGTGAACGAGGTGCTGTGGGTATTCCACTGCGAACAAGGGAAAAGGAAGGGATATACCTATGGCCTCTCTGAATAGAAGTTACTCTCTTCCCGGTCAAAAAGTTACTCCCTGGGTTGGGCGAGAGTGTGTAAAAATACGAAAGGGAAAAATGGCCCAGAAAAAGACCCAAGCCAAGTCAAAGTTGGCTAAGGGTACCGTGTGGTCGTCGATCCCGGGATGTCTATTTTGTCTTCCTCAACTCATGCGAACCGTAGCTGTAGTAATAGAAAAGGTCTACTAATCTCGTGTAGAAGAACTTCCAATGTTGTAGATGTTGTCGCTGCTGCTGCCGCCGTTGTTGTGCTGTTGCTGTTGTTGTCGTCGTCGTTGTCGCTGTCGTTCTTATTAACCATCACAGAACTGCGCACCATGTATTTCTGGCTGGTGCTCGCTTGATTGCTGCTCTAGGCATGCACAGTACCGGTAGGGTAGCTCGTAGTAAGACCTCACGTTATCGTGCTTGGTGCGTTCGCTATTCTTGCTCGCTGCTCTAGCCTCGATTGCATGTTGCCTTGGTTCACTTCTACACTGACAACTGACGGATCCCTTCATTGACCCTTCCCTTGGCACCAACTTCAAAAAATAATTATTCATAAAAGAAAGAAAAAAATACCGTATCACCACCACCCCATACCTAGACTAGAACACCGGGCCGTAAACTGAGTTCCTTCAAGATCAATGTAGATCTCCGCTCAAAGACAAGAAGAATAGTAACTTCCTCGGACTCATTAGAATAGGGGCGCGAGCGGAGGGACGCCCAAGTCATGCTCAGACCTCCCTCTGTCATCCTGCTTTCTCTGCTGCAACTCCGGAGGAATTTCTATTGTGCTCTACAATCTTCGTTGCATCTTCTTCTTCTTCTTCTTCCTCTTCTTCTTCCTCTTGATAGCCTTCTGCTTTCAATTGATTGAGTGGCTCCTTCGAATCATTCTTCTGCCTCGACTTCTGCTGGCTTCCACTCCTGCTTCTGCTTCTGCCCTTTCAAAAGAGGTTTGCCGCTGCTTGAACTTGGGTGGGCCTTGTCCGATGGGGAATGCCTGTCCCAGAGCGCACAACAATGCTTGCCCGCCTTCTCATTTGGTAACCTTTTAGAATCCTGAAACACGCGCTTGCAATTCCTCCACCCCCTCGTTCTTCCTTCCACCGTCAAATCCCGGCATGGCACTCGCCCAGTTGGACCAGTCCCCCCCCCCAAATCGGATAACTCCACTCCTCCAGGCAATCCTCCATGTACGAGCACCGTACCGTACCCTAATCCTCCTCCTCCCCCCCTTCTCTCCTCCTCCCCTCTCCCCCCCCTCTCTCCCTCTTTTTTCTTCCCTTTGATCCAGCCTGCTTGCTTGCTTCCTGCTCCTTCTCCATCACACCGTATCCTTTCACCCACACATTTTTCGCTATAACCTACCAAACTTAACAGCCTACCTGATCAATCAAGCCAACTAAACTAGACCAAACCAAACTACGCCTCACATCCAACCCTTCACCTCTCCAATACGCAAAAGTAGTCGGCAAACAACACGATATGTTAGCTCAGAAGGAACAGGGCTCCTTTCGCCCTGTCCAAACAAACCACGAGACCCTGTAGATGTTAGCATGACCTTCGAACAAGTAATAAGAACCCACTGAAGTACGGTACAGTATATTGACAATTAGAAACTCTATTTGTTCTCTCACTCTCTCACTTTCAATAGAAAGAATTCAATGGCGAATAAAGCAACCGACGTGTGACCAAGGTGTAAGAATAATCTCGTGGACCACTTGTCTTGTCGTGTGTCTCTTTCTTCTCACTCTCTCCCTCGCTTCAAAGACCTGTACATTTGATTGGTCAATTTTGCGCCTGGAACAACTTACGGTGGCTTGCATCTTGGTGGGGATGGTGCGGTACCCTAGACCGCCATCCCTCTCCCGTCATGGACATGGGCAAACATTTCGTCTTCCCGTAACCCATCTTTCAGCGTGGGGCCAAAATTTGCCTGCCCGTTCTATCCAGAAACTTGTATCTCCCCATGGACAGAAAAGTTCCATGGAGGGTCCCACTGGCTACAAGTGGCAACCATACCGTACCGCACCGCACATTTTTCCCTTCCTTTTGAACAGCAAAAAGGGGGACACGAAACCGGGTGGTGATGACGGTGCTGGGGAATTCTTTCTATCAATTCTATGATAAAACACGGCGATATGGTACAATAAAGGCCCGAGATCACGGAGATGAATGAAGCAAACCGGGCTTTCACCTCGGTTCATGTTCCACTTCGTTCCGAGAAGGTCTCTTTTAGCCATGACGGTAATGTCATCAATTGCGGCTGGATTACTATAGGGGCCTCCAGTCAGGGAAAAAAGGACAAAAAGGACAAAAAGGACAAAAAGGACAAAAAGAGACTCATGGACACTACATACCGGCAGCACGATATGTATCCACCATAGTTGCCCAGCCCAATCTAACTTAGTCAGGTCCACTGCCCGTGCCCTCTACCCTGGAGAAGAAAAGGAAGGAAGCTATTTGTACGAGGACAGTATGATACCGTACGGTATGCCATATCATACTACGACAACCTTGTCTATAACGCAACTTATTCCCCGATAAACACCGGTGCAAAGACTTGTCACGAGTGAAAACGGGCCGAACCAATCAGGTCGGATACGTTCCTGAATGTCTTCTTTCCGCCGCTTTTGTGCTGCGGCGCCTATCGTAGATCCATGTGCCCATTCGCCTCCCCCTACCATCCTGATCTTTTATCAAATCCAACTTCACAGTGGCTTCGCCATTTGTCTTGGACTGCTACCGTATTTACATTGCTTGGATGGTTTGTTAGCATCTGTGCCTGACCATGTCGATTATTATTAACAGCGAACCCGACGATCCCACTTGATGGACAGGCTTTGTCGGATCAGGGGCTGTGTGGTACCAGTCTCGTTGTGTTGCCCAATCACGCTTACCAAACCAACTTCCACCAAGAATAGCCTGATACCGGAAGACTGCCGCACTGTTACCGTAAATAAATAAATATATGAGCGGCCCAAAAATGGTAAGAGGTGTTTGCATTGATAAGTGATAAAAGAACAATAGACAAATCCAACAAACCGATTGCTGGACCATAATTAGTGTCTTTCTTTTTCGTTGCTACTATTCTTTGTTCAAAATTCCAATTAGAAAGGGTTACTACAGTATTTGATTTAGGCTTCCTAGTCTGGCTCAGTAGCTATTTTTCTTTCTCCCTTCGTCTTTGAGTTTGATTTGCTTTCACCTTTCCGGTCATTTGCTCCCAATTACCTCGCTGGGCAGAGCTCATCGGCCGCGATCTCAAAACTTCTGTTTCTCTTGGACGAGAGGGGAAGCCCCGTGCGCGCCGTTTCAGGAGTCGTCGTGGCAGGTGTGCGTTCAACCCCGGCGTAATTCTCCGGTTATCAGATCTCGACTTACATCCAAGCGAACGGTCCAGAATCCAGTACGAGTATTCCATTGAACATTTGTTTGATACGTGAATACGGCTAATCCACTGTTCTGGTAGGTTTGCTCCTCGTAAGCTCTCGTACCAGTACCGACCCTTCCTTCCCCTTCCCCACCTGTTTCCCCCGCCCCTTCACTTACGCTATTTGCTATTCTCTACCGGTGCTGACATCCCTTGATCGCATTGGCACTTGGTGACTCTAAAGCACACCATGTCAGCAACCTGTCGGTAGAGGACTTTAGAGTGTTAGGAATACCGCCTCTTTTTTTTCGCCCTCCTCTCTGCGGCACGGGTCTCTCTATCCATCGCGGGCCAGCGGCGGCATAAACGAAACAGGTAAACGCGACCAATGTTTTTTTCTTTCCCTTTTCTTCCAGCGATACCCGAGCCGTTGGCGATGCCCACCCGCAAGCCCCTGGCTGACGGTGCAAGAAAGGGCGGGGCCTGCATATGTCATGGCAAAGACTAGGGGTGCAAAGTATCGTGCCCTAGGTGAGGTTCAACAGTAACTTCAATGCTATCATACTCGAGCAGAAGTTCTCTAGTGGTTGTGCGACGGTGTCGTTTCCGATTCTGTTCGCTTTTCGGAGAAAAAGGTCAAATCGCCAAGAAAGAGAATCAGCCTATCGCTCGCTCCCCTCAAGTGAACAATGCGTAGCATCGCAGATCCTCAATCAACTCTCAATCAGCTCTTGTCCTTCCATGACAGAACAAAGTTGTTACAGTATCGTCATCTTGTTTCCTGTTGCAAAAGACAACCGAGATGCAACTATCGTCACTTTTTAGCGTCACCACCACAGGTATAAGCGAAAATAGACTGATATCTCGTACGCTTTAGCGAGACACCTTGCAGAGAGAGCGAAACGCAAAACACCTATACTCGGGGCCTTTTTGTGCTCAATTGGAATAAAGGCGTACTTCATGAACGTACCTTTACTTACACCCGATGCAATAGCTCCCTAAGGTAGATAACGCGGGAGAAAAACAAAGTACGTGTTATAGCCATAGCTTAATATTGATGTCCCAATTCGAAAGAAGAGCTAACTACCGGTATTACTCACTCCTCACATATACGGTACTGTACTCCGCTCTTTTGGCCCCGCCGTGCCGCCCGAGGTGCTCCCTAGAACGGGTGCAAGCCGCTTTAGTGGAAAATTCCAGAAGAGCCAGCCTCTTTCCAGTACCGGTACTCGAGTAGACGCTTTGTCCAAGCACCTATACGATGAGGTTATATCACGTTTCACTCAACCCCTTAGAGTATCCATCGCGGCCCCAGCATCCACTCTGGGGGGTAACATCCAGAATCGCTTACTGACCAAGCCATCTCAAACAAGCGTTTCAAATATCCCCAAAAGCGAATAAGTAGTGCCTTGCCCTGTCAAGCAGGGACATCGCTGCTGTCTAACCTTAAATCGTCCAGTCTTCTCACTCAGTGGTGGCAACAGCGGTCTTTCTTCTAGGGGTCCCATATCTCAATGGCCGGCTGACAACATGAAACACCCGGTGCCTCGAAGAATAAAAATCGATGACCAAGACCTGTCACCGGCCCCCCCTTTCCTGGCATGTCTTCGCCGTCCATGTTGTGCTCGAGTACTCGAGTATGTCCATGAGAACAGCACGTATGCTGGGTCTCCATATCTTTTAATTGTCTTGGGAATCAAGGCCGTGGGAGCGCAGCATAGAGGGAGAAAATGAAGTATATAGTGCACACTTGCTTCCAATTTTCAGATAAATATATCCGACTCCGTCTGAAGAATTCCTCGGCGAGCTAAGCCGTTGAGTGGTACCTCAGGAAATTTAGATTTATATCATAG